ACCTTCGCCATGTTAAAGGTTTGATCCGTCTGGACTTGGAATATTTGTACATATGGGGGTGATCAAGTACACTCCTATACATTTGCTGGCCACCGTTGCTTGTTGGGCAGAGTAAGAGAGTGAGCCACATTCATGAATTCCTTGATAGTTGGTCACAATGGTTTAGGGGAAGTTTTAGTGACCCGTAAAATATTCGCATAGATTTTTATGGAATATTTGGGCACAGTGAGGACGATGAGAATCGGAGATCACTGCAGTAAATGTGATTTTTAACAGCCCCATGAAGCTCTCATCCCCCTCTCCCTGCTCGATCCGCTTCTGGAGTCTCAGAGGCGAAGTTCGACGTGCCACAGGTTGACCAGTTTCAGCAACGCTATCGATATCACCCACAGTAGGACGGTAGGGCGGAGTATCTGGGGTACGCGGGGCCATATAGAGCCATGTAGGAGAGGGAGGGAGGGGTCGAATGACAAAATTTCCTCACATAAGCCCCCTCTGTAAAACAGTGGCTTGAAGCTCAAAAATTCCGAATAAAAATCGTATGCGAAATGTAATTCATAATTATTGATCGATAGTGCGCACCTTGTGGCCATTCTTTTTATAAACTATTACATTTTAGCATGCGAATACGAAGTGCCCATACCCGAGGGATGCCGAAATGTTATCGGACATTTCGACTTGGCTCATTACGATAAATCGTTCGATCAGGTGGAATCGATCATCGGATCAGTAACACTGAAGTCAAGCAATGCGACGTCATTCCCTAAGATGAAAAAACTTCACGCAATACGACAAAAGGATAAAGGTCCCATAATAGTCATCGAGGATAATCCAAGGCTTCGTGAGGTGACAGCACTGTATCCTTTAAACCTATACACCAAAAATGATGACGGCGCAGTTCGTGTTGAGAAGAATCCCCAGCTATGTGTTTCATTTGCTGAAATGGACCAAATGTTCGTGCTGCAGTATCTCGGCACAGTTGACAGATGTAGTAAGTTTTATTTCGGAATTTTGATAGCCTCTTTTTGTACTTGAAATTGTAGCAGTATTCCAGCCAAAAAGATTTAAAAAACTGTAACCAAAGACGAAAGTCTTGATAAATAGGATATTCAGAAAAGAGAGGGACGGGTAGTAGTAAGGTTTGAGGAGTATCCAAGCAGACTAGAAGTGGCGGTTAAGCAAAGGGTGCGCTGGTTAATGACGAGGCGCAGGAACCTTGAAGGAGGGTCCCACGATAGCGTCGAAGGTCGAAGGGAGGGACTTAAGGGTGCGGACCGACAATTCGCAGCAAAGGAGATGCCTAGGCGATCTAGCATGGCCCTCTTGCGGCGCTATCGGCGCGGCACGCCCCCTCTCGCTGTCTGAACTCCAGCCGTTTAGCAAAGAGTGTTATCGTTGAAGAGGGCAGCACCGATGAGAGTCGCATCAATGCAAGCGGGCAATTTTTTGTTTTTCTTAGCATGGCTGCCCGCGCGCCGCTAAAGCGCCACATCATGCCTGCCTCCTCGAGCCTCTAGCCGTCAAGCAGAGAGTGCGTTAGCGTTGAAGAAGGGCTACATCGATGACAGTCCCATCGATGCGGAAATGAACCAGCAGAAATCGGTACCATCTTCATCCCTGCATCACTGATCACCTCTACCTTGGTTTCTAATGGAGGCCTTTTCATCGCAAATTCCGCCCCTCCCACGGTTACAAGGCTTCTGTCAACCAGAGTGTAGAAGGAAAAGCAGACGTTCTTTGTGGTAGTGGGACTAAGCCTTTTAAAGGAGGTAAAGAAAGCGGAGATTCTGTAATAGTGCGCTTGTGTGAGAGCTCCCAGACAGCACAACAAAACGCTGAATTGCCTAGCCTCACGGTTGACAGATGTCCGGAGACCCATCCCCCGCTCAGACACGCCCACTTTGGCACGCGGGAAAAGTGACAAGTCCAATGTTTAAGATGAAACCGTAATTTCGTTATTCAATTTCCTTTCATTAGTGCACTGTAGCACCAGACATAGAAGCGTCAACTGTCTATCAATCATGGGTGACATTACGCCACTGTTAAACACCCGAATGACCTCCACCTTACACAGCAGTAGACACGCCCACCTCCAAAATCGAATGAGGGAAACGGGGAAACGTACCGCAGGATTTCGACAGCTTACCTTTTTCCATCGATGTCCCGGCGCTCTGCTTTCATATTTCATTGTCATTCGTATAACTTCGT